CCCCAAAACCCCAAAACCCCAAAACCCCAAAACCCCTTCTCTAAATTATTACAATAAATTTATTTTTAAGGCCCTAATGACTGAGTATTCACAGGATGTGGAAGAAGTGGTTGTCAATTCCCCAAAGCAGGTCCAGAAGGATAACCAGTCTATCCAGCATTCTTTTTTTAGTGCCAAGTCAGGAGACAGTCGTAGTAAGCAATGGCCTGGGATTCGAGAGTTTGAAGAGATTAGGTCTCATGCTTTTTGTAGGGTCGAGATATAGAAACCAGTATTTTAGTATGAACCAGAGTAGGAGTGGGGTTTCTAAAGGAGATTTTAATGAAAATCCAACCTTTTCTTCAAGTATTCCTTCAAAATACCAACATGTACTCTTTTTAAGGAAGAAGTTTAAAGGGTTTAACTCCAGTAGTGATAAGCATTCATTTAAATAAGCAAGCGAAAAGAAGATTTAATTGAGAACCTGGGCCTGCAACTTATCGAATAAAGCCTCCTAAGTTAAGAAATTATAGTAAAAAGCACTCCTCTGGGGTTAGTTCAAGAGGTGAAATGTATACCTTTGAGGGTAAATTTATTCTAACATTCAGAAACCTCTCCTGGTCCTTGTGATTATGAAACTACGAAACCAAAGAACTCAATATGAACGGTAAAATATAAGAAAAGCTCTCCAAATATCAAAGCTCTGGAAGGAGACAACCCACTAAGCTATGTTTTGCCTTTAACAGTCAATCTATTTTTTAAGAAGAATTTCCCTGGACCTGGAGAATATTCTCCTCAAAGAGAAATTGAAGATCACGTTAAGAACGAATACAGTAGTGCATTTAATTCAAAATCTCAAAGAAGATTTATTATCAATGACAAAAATAATAACTTCCTCAAATATTCCTTCCAGCATAAGACTATTGAGGAAGAGATGAACAAGAATCTTGAAAAATTGAAAAAGAGAGAGAGCAAGGAGACCCCTCATAAAACTATATCTTCATCATTGATTACTACCAAGAATCGGTATTTTGAAGCATAATGATTATACAGGACCAGGGGGAATTTGAGCCAAGATTTTGCAAACCTTGGCGAAAGACTCAAAACTATTCAAGAACACTGTGGAAACCAATCGTTCAGGTAAATCTTTTTCAAGAAAATACTGAATATTTATAACTCCAGAGGGGATATAAGTCATAATCTGGACAAAGAAAAGAATATCTATACATCAAACTTCGCACTTCAAGGTGCTGATAGATTTGGTGGTTCAATTTTCACACAACGTAAAAACTTAAAAGCTCTTGATCCAGGAAGATATGGGCCTAAAAGACCTTCCAAAATAAAAGGTGGGCTGATAGGAACAAACAGGAAGAGGCTGATTAATGATACAGTTAAAGAAGTGCCAGGGCCTTGCTACTACTCAGCCAAGAAATCTCAAGCGAGGATCTCATTTTTATTCAACCGAGATCAAAAATGGATACAATAGGTTTCAATATTTAGTTACGCTTTAGGGGTTTTGGGGTTTTGGGGTTTTGGGG